TTAGGTTTGTTTTATTTGGTATACATGTATTTTCGAGCTTTTTGTGTGAGACTGTATATGGAAGTAGAACGTTAGGTCATGAGTGATACATTTTGGTTTCTTTTTCCATACTTCTGCACTTACAGGAAAATAGTTGTTTGGCTTACCTGACATGTACACCTACAGAAAGTGGTTGGCTTGGCTTTATTTTTTTGAAGATTCTTTTTAAAGTAGCTATTTGATTTCTTGGACACTTCAAAGTGCAGATTGTTTTGTTAGTTTGTTTCGTGCAAAGGCATATAAAGGAATTGGCATATTGCTTAAAGAATCTCTTGTAGTTTCTTTCGTGAAAGCTGCAATTGGTACCTCTTTGGAAATGTATTTGAATGCTTCTGACTCCCTTTGCTACATGTACTCCGCATTCACACTCTATAAATAGATTCCCATTATTTCTCTTGCTATATGGAGCTTGTATGCTTTGGTATTTTTGGATGTTGGTAGAGCTTAGAATTCTGCAAAGTTTCAAATGGTTATTCAGTTTTATGGGTTGCAAAATTTTGCTCTCTTATAACAAGATGATTAAGGTGCAAACATTATTGTGTTTATTAATGACATTTAATATGGTTTCTTCTCCTTACCTAGAATTTTGCAAAGTTTTAGATGGTTGTTTTTTTAAAGTATATGGTGAGCTTGATGGGGAAGTTGTCTCATGCTTTCCTCGGGTTGCACAAGGTGCTTCATATAGGGGAAGTCTTAATCCTGATTGTTGGGATTTGTATTTCTTATTCAAATGGCTGTTCAGTTTTATCGGGAAGAGGATTCAGTGCAAAATTTCTGATTCAAATGACTCTGTTTTTTTTTTTAAGTATATGATGAGCCTTGATGGGGAAGTTGTATCTTGCTTTCCTCGGTTTGAACAAGTGCTTCATGTAGGCAGACTTTTGGGATTTGCTATGTATTGCTCAGGAAGATTTTTGAGATTTGCTGTGTATTGCTTAGCTAGATTTTTGGAATTTCTAAAATCAAGTGATCATCTTGCTTTATCTATTTATGAGATTGTTGCATGAAATTTCTGCAAATTTTTGCTTTATCTATTATGGAATTGTATTGCTTAGCCAGTTTTTGGGATTTCCTCTACTATTGCTGGAAGCCTCCTACCCGATATTGGATTGTTGGAGCTAGGCTATTTACTTCATATGCTCAGCATATTGCATCTTATTTTTTTTATTTATTTTTACTTAAAATTTTTACATTTACTTATATTTTAGTTCCTTAAGTTCTAAAATGTCTAAAGCGAATGAAGGGGGTTCATCTGCTATGTGGGATAAGGAAGTTATAAATATTTTTTACAATCTCTGTATTAAAGAAATATTACTCGTAAATAGACCAACAACGTATTTTAACAATAAGGATGACAAAATATCACGAAGAGGTTTAAGTTCAAAAAATTGACAGGAAGAGATTACGACACTATGGTTGTCAAAAAAACTCATTGTTCGCAAGCAGTTCGTGTTCGGTTCATCAATGAGTTCGTGTTCGATTTATTCGATAAGTAAACGAAACGAACGTGAACAAATTTTTTTCGTTCGGTTAGTTAAATGAACCAAACACAAACAGTGATGCATTCGTTCGTATTCGAATCGTTATTGTTCGAAATATAAAATAATTTAAAATAATTATATAGAAAATTTATGATATTTTAAAAAATTAAATTTTATAAATTATAATATATAATAAATTAAT